AGGATCCTCAGTATTACAATAACTTTTTTCTATTTCGGTGTCACAATGATGATTTTGTACAATTGTTTTCGGCCGAAAACAGTTGTACAAAGACAGTGATTATAGTCGTTTTTTTTTGGTAACTCATCTCTTAAGTTGGCAGTTACTAGTTAGTACAAGTAGGTACTTCGTTGGGTACTTCCATGTTTAAACTTCAAAATGTCAGTCTTACTACGCTGCCAACCTAAAACTTAACGGCATAAAAAGTGTTCCCAACATAAAACATGTTAGTTCTAATGTTTCCTATAGTTTCTGATAATGATTTTTTTAATTAAATTAAAGCACCGAAATAGAAAAAGTAGTATGAAAAACGCGTGTTACAATGCTTTATTGTAATACTCCTATCTTGCGGACACTCGTGGCTACGCTTCGCGTCGCCACTCGTGCCACAAGATAGTCGTATTACAATAGGTCGCATTGTAACACTTGTCTTTCAATATACTATTAACGATAATTTATTTTAATGTTACAAAATACATCAAATTCATGTCTTGGCCATTGAGATAATGCTCTTAATCTTGTTTTGATCAAAATTCATGTGGTCGCCAAAAATAGATCAAATTCATGTTTTGATCATTGAGATAATGCTCTTGGTCTTTTTCCCAACGTTCTTGGTGCATAAATAACGATTTTGACATGTTTTGATCAAAATTCATGTGGTCGCCGAAAATAGATCAAATTCATGTTTTGGTCATTGAGATGATGCTCTTAGTCTTTTTCCCAACGATCTTGGTGAATAAATAACGATTTTGACATGTTTTGATCAAAATCCATGTGGTCGCCAGAAATGCATCAAATTTATGTCTTGAGCATTGAGATAATGCCCCTTGTCTTTTTCTCGACGATCTTGGTGCATAAATAACGATTTTTATTATTTTGATTGAATAATCTAGCGGAAGTCCCAACCCGATACATGACCTAGGGAATGAAATATGTTGATTTCTATTATATTGAGCCCGTAGTTTTTCCTGTTCCCGATTCACTGGAAGTCCTATAACTTTTGTTCCTATTGAACCAGCTTCCTGAAAATCAATAGCGTCCGTCCTTAATGTCCAAAGAACCCGTACACCAAATTTCAACTCAATCGGCCACTTTTAAAAAGAGTTAGAGCGCACACGGACGGACGGACGGACGGACGGACGACAATACAAAACTATAAAGGATCTGAGGATCCTTAATAACGAAAAGGTGCTACTTCGGTATGCGGTCTACGGCAGAGTTTCTAGTTTGGTATGCGGTCTACCGTCTGATATGCGATCTACGGCAGTTTAGCTGATTCGGCATGCGGTCTACGTACAAAAACAAATTAGAGAAACTATTACAAACTTTTTATTTATTATTTAATTTAAACTTATCTTCTACATTCCTTCGTAGAAACTTCCACGCAACATAATCCAAATGGGACTGCAAAGTACTGACAGGAACACCTCTCATTTTTTTCAAAATCGTAATTTTACCCTCCAACCAGGATCTTTCTATCCCTTGCGTATGTGCTCCTGTTTGTGGGTCGACATAATTTTCCTGGTGGTTAACGGTTGAGTGCACGTAGCCTTAATTGGCGCAAATTGCCGTATGCTGGCCATTCGTCCGAGTGAATTACTGACCCAGCTTCAACTTCCCTTTGTATGATGGGAACTAGGGTCGCTCTGTCTCTTCGCTCAACATAAAAATATCGGACCTCCTCTTTACTCTTTAATCCGAAGACCCACGGACCGTCAATTCGGCGTCCATGATTCCAGTTATTTTCCGCTTCAGCATCGCTGTCTTCTGATTCTGCTGGATGGTCTCCATTTAATATTCGTCCTCTGTTGTATTTCCTTCTGCCCGCAAATCTGGCTTCGTCAATTTGGATTGGGTCTTCTTCCGTACCTCGAAGCTGTCCACGGCGATTCACTGACATCACAGAGGAACAGACACATGCTGTACCAGTCCCCTATAGCTTCACTTCCTCTCCCCGTTAATTTCATTACTGTGTCAAAATCGAGTTCCAAAATGAACATGAACATCAATTCCAAAATTTGACATAAAGTTAACTTTTTCCATTTAAGTCGGTGAAATGGAAAAAACGGTTGGGGTGCCATGCCTAACTGATCTTGTGGTCTGGCATCCTCTCCTTGGACAGCGAAGAACTGGTCTATATTCACCACCCCGATCTCGTTTCCGCTTTTCTTCCATTTCTGCCCCACATCGATGGCACGGCTCAGCGTCTTCAACATTTTGTAATAAACCGTTCGCTCGTAGAAATGCTACTGCCTCTGCTTCGCTCGAAATGACAGTTTGATAAAACTCTTTTAGCAACATTTTGTTTGCAACTAAATCAATCTTCATTTTGGGGCTCATTTTATACCAAAATAGGTCATTAAAGGTTTTAGTATAAGCACTACGTAATTGACCAATAATGAGTTCGTCATAATTTCCCTAATTTGTTTTTGCATTCCTAATTGAGCAGTAATGAGTTTATTTCAAAGATTATTTACTTTTTAAGTAATATAATGAAATAGTAATGAGTTTGTCATAATTTCCCTAATTTGTTTTTGCATTCCTAATTAAGTAGTAATGACTTTATTTCAAAGATTGTAATATAATAAAATAGTAATGTTTGTAATAGTTTCTCTAATTTGTTTTTGTACGTAGACCGCATGCCGAATCAGCTAAATTGCCGTAGACCACATATTAGACGGTAGACCGCATACCGAAGTGGCACCAACGAAAATTAGTCAAAATTTCCTTCAATTCAATTATAAAATTTCTAAGTAAGGGATCGTAGAAAAAGTGCTTTCACACTCGCGTGAGTCTTCACGCACTAAATGCGCAATATACAGCTATTAGCGTTGTCCTGTCCCAGAGTAGTTAGGTACCTCCATATCTCCACATTTCTTCCCATATTTACTTACCTTTTGTAAACAGATTTTTCGAAGTTTTTTTTTTCGCTCGGTGGTTTCTCGGACTTATAGGGGAACCAGGCATGACTGGTTTTAAATGCATTCTGTCAAAGTTTGTAGGAACTCTTTTGGCATTTTTTATTCATTTTGCACTTTTTGATAAATTATCCAATAAATTCAGAAATCCGGAAAATTAAGGCCGACATATTATGCCTATTGGAGTTTTCTGGCACGGTCTTCTGTCAAAAAACAGGTCTACAGAAGATCTTCTCCTGCGAGTAGTGAGTGAAGTACGGAACGCAATAAATAACAAAAAGCGGATAAGTAGAGTTGTGTTTGGTGGCGTCCTCGGACGTTTAGAACATCTTTAACTCTGCGTCCATGGACTAGGGAGGCTACCGTAAAGACATTACGAGAGCAAAATGCGGAGTGGCAGTTGCACTGGTGAATGATCGATTATCTCAGCAGAAGACAAGTGTTAGCGACCAACGGTCTCTGGTCAGTGCTGTGGATTGCCATTTTTGGGAATGAGTGGTTGGGCGAATAGGTGACATGTGACATGAGGAAATAAATTGTTATTATTATGTATTGCATACACAATACAATTGTATGGGTATTTCTATTTAATGATTTCTAATTTGAATTTCCGATGCAACATGGCTACTGGGCGGAGCTTTTAGCTCCTATTTAACTGTCTCGTACAGTCACGGTACTACACTTACTAAAGTCCCTAGATTACTAAAGTAACGCGATTCATTAGGCCAGTGCTTAGACTCTTTCCTTCTCTAATAAGGGCCAGTGTATTAGACAAAAACAAACTGCTAACTGAGCCAAAATGACCGTTTGACAACTAGTGTCATGTTTGACATTTGTAGTTTTGTATTATAATAGTTGTGTGTACATTCAGGAGAGTACTGATGTAACCATTAATTCATTAGAGAAGCGCATCTGGGCACTTTTGCAAGAAAACAGAAAACGAAATTAAGTACTTAGAAGTGAAGACAATTTTGCGAATGAAGATCAATTAAAATAGTTGGAATTGGATACACACAAGGGTTTTATGTGGAGTGGCGAAACAATTGAAGAAGCGATGCAACTATATTTTTCTTGTGACGTGAAAGGCTATTAAACGATACGCCTTAGACCATATAGTACATGGACTGCTATTCGCCCTATGCTTTCAATACAAAATGGATGGTCACGAATAGAGGGCACTGTAGTCGTGGGTATGTGAATCTCAGGGTAAACTAAGGTCGTGTAAACACCACTAGGATCGCTTAAAGAGCAGCTTTATAGTAACCGCGTAGTACGGGAAGCTTTAAATACTCTTCATTATTTACTATACGTCCTCAAATAAGAATAAGTCTGCTTTTTTTGGGATATCTAGGCGATTAATTAATTGACGTTTGTTAATTTATAGGTTGACAGTCTCAAATCGTGTCTAATCGGACAACTTCGGACAGACTCGTTTACCCTGAAATTCACATACCCAGGCGATGTCCTTGACCATATTTTAGTTACAATTAGCAGTCCATGTACTATATGGTCTAAGCGATACGCTCACAAAACTTGCCCTATCCAAGAGCGACTACAAAATACATACTTTCCAACAAATTACTCTTTGCTTTCCAATATTGTTGTTCAATTTCAAATTTCGCGGTTCCCAAACTGAGCCAAAATGGCTGCTATTCGCGTTACTTTAGTAATTTAGGGACAACACTTACTGCCAAATGGCGCCATCTATTGGTGGAAAAAACTAATCATAGGATCAGCAATAAATTGGAGCTAGTGCAGCCTGTATACTAAAAAACAATTTTGTTTAATTACATTTTTCCACTATTTGTTATGTGTAAACATATACAATTAATCATTGCTAGCTATATAAATACAAAAATTCAAAAATAAATACATAACGTTATCGCTAAAGATCCTACAATTCACTTGATTTTTAAGTTATATCGGCATGTGCTTAAGCAAATGCAGATCTACTTCTATCTTAATTATTTTGCTTGCTACACCTGAATAATACTGATATGATGACAGATCTTAGTTGACAGCCTCTCTTAAATCACAGTCGCATTACATTGGCAAAATTGTAATAATTTCATTATATAAAAGTAATTATATAAAGCCCTAGCATAACCCAATGGCTTAGGAAATCTAAATCACCCCATTTTTCATATATACTTGGCGCATCCGGATATCCAACAGAGTCCATTAAAACACCCAAAAATATCAGATCACAAATAGTAATACACGCAAATATCAAAAGCACTAATTTTATTAACCAATTCGATCTTTTGTACTTATGCGTGCACGTCCTGCATGGACGAACCCGTAAACATGCATTGAAGCTTCTCGCTAATTTTTCTTGGAGTCGAAATTGCACAAATGAGTAGGCACCAATCGTCACCAATACGGCTGCAATTTCCAGATTAAATCCGTGCAAAAGAGATGAAATGAGGTAGGTTCCCAGTATTGCTTTGAAGTAGCCAAATCTTAAAATCTCCAAGTACACATCTGCAAGTATAAACAAATGAGTAGTACACTTTACAACAAAAAGAACACGATTATCCACAAACAATGTATGGAGAACGGTGCGTTTGTTGTTCTATGACTTACCAAACGATTTACAGTACCTATCTCAAGTTAATTGAAAAACAAGCCTGAAATCAATGTGTTGAGATGTGGTCAACTATTCTTCACTTTAATTGTATAATTACAACCTGCCTATATATTATTACATTCTTAATCACACGCTTTTGCAATATAATCTTGCTCTTTAAAACATGTATGTGTTCATTTAATCAAAATATGTGTGAATAAGGTTGACTTGACAACATGGTTTACCAACTTTTCCAAAGAAAATGCAACAAGGTTGAACATTTCCACCATGGTGGACTCCCTGTTATCCGGACAACGAAATTGAATGGATACACGAGGTATAGTAAAGTCACTATCACCAAGTCACTATGATAGGAAATTGTCAAGTGATAAAGATTATTTTCAATTAGGGTGGCAATTTTCACAATTTTTAATCACCAAAAAAAATAGGGCCCAACATTATTTTCGTCATAACTCGCTTAGTGCTAGAAACTTTTATAAAATAAAAACAAAAGTTTTATCAAGCACATCAAGAAGGGTTCCACAAGTTTTCCCCAAAAATGCATTATTTTTTGTTTATTTCACGTTGAAACTTTTAACTTAAAGCAGGTACAGGGTCAACTTTGTAGAAGAGGGTGAGTAGAAAGGCGGTGTTTGGTAAAACATGGTCATTGATTGGACTGATACTAATAAAAAAAAACCAACTTTAACACAACTTGGATTTTTTAAACATTTTTTCAAAAAATCACAAATACCACAAATTAACCAGATATTCCTTGAAATTATCTCAAATTCCTAGTACATTAAAAATGTCAGTCATTCCCAGTTATACACAACAATAAGGGTTCATTTTACATAAACTGCGACTCCTTATACCCCCACATGCGCCATGCAACTTTATTTACATGTGCATACTTACATTTCTTAAGAAACCTATGCATGGGAATATTCCAACTAACCACAACACTAACTAATGAGGTTGGAAGCTCAATATCAAATGGTCTAGTAATCACATATTGATTTTTTGAATCGCCATATCCACCACAAAGCATTGTTGCCTCAGATAAGAAGGAAATAAAATAGTGACTACACCTGAACGAAAACGCTCGACGATAAGCCGATATCCATCTAAAACAAAAATTTTAGTACAGATTCAACACAAACTAAAACTTACTTGTTATCAATTACACTGGGTATAACAATGATACTTAAACAATTAGACATTGATAGAAAAAAGAATGAGAGTAGTAAAACGTGTATGGTTCGTAATACCCAAGTAAATTTCTAAAACCTCCATATTTCACAACACACAAATCTATATCTAAGAGCTACCTTTCTTTGGCTCATCACCCGTGCAATATTATACTCAGTAAACGAAATCCAAGGTCCAAACATTACGTTAGCCGGGCACAGCATGTATCCTGCATAAACATATGGTGATGGAAAATAATGGCCGTTTTGCAAATCAAAACAAAGAGAAATGATTTTCATAGCTGCTATCATGAATAGCCCTCGAGACTGAATCCAATCGTCCTGATTTGGATACACAAATTCGCTAGAAGAAATAGTCGTAGTGTTCGAAATCACAAGGTAGTCTTACCAAAGCAATAAGTAAACGATGCATAATAACACTGCAATGTACTCAGTCTTAATTTGCTTTTTCAAGTGAACACGATTGGCACAATACATGCAAACGTATCCAACTGCAAGGAAAACTAAAAAGTGTGTGATGTTGCTGTGCGATATTGCTAACCTCATTACTGCGAAACCACCCACTATTGAGCAAAGGTGAAATACCTTGTGCGAGAAATACGCTGAAATGTACATACAGTTAATATTTTGTAGTTTAATTTTTTTAATTACCCGAAATTAGTTGATACACAAGATTGTAGATGAGCATGTAGACAATTTTTGGGGCAATATCCATACATGAAGCCTGTATGCACAATTCCCAAACATCGTATGGACTAAGGCCTCCGAGGCACTCAAATTGTGAATGTAAAAGATAACTAAGCATTGTTCTTCGTGAAGAGTAACAGGTAAGTGATGAAGGGTGAAAGAATTTAAATTGAAGGAAGCATTACTATCCACACCACTTTAATAAAAAATGTGTAAAATATTTCACATAATCTCACTTTATAGGTTAATTTAAATAACACGAAGTTAGCTTTATTAATAAAAAGAAAACATCATTTGCTATACATGGTGAAAGAAAAGATGTGCTAAGGATATTGGTATTATACACGAAGATATTGAGAAGAATGGACTCCGTTCCAGTAGCGTAACAGATGTTATTTTTATTATTCGATTAACTCTGTATTAGTAGTCCTTTATTTGATACAAACATAACTAATTAAGAAAATATCGCATTACACAATTCAAAAACCAAACGTAAAAATTGTCTTTTCAATTACATGATACCCTTCACGTTCACGCAGGCGTGATATATTGTGTTATGAGAGGGGAGTTAAAGGAAAGAAGGTAGATAATAATTCACGTCTGGGGTATACGACCAATTAACGGAAAAGGAAAACTAGAAAATATAATGAGCGAAATGAAAAAATACAAAATTGGCATATTAAGTATGAGCGACGTTAGGTGATCAGGAGAAGGAGAGTTTGAGGCAGGACATCACAAAAGAAGGCAGAAAAAAGAAACAGGAGTAGAAAATTTGTTCAAAAAGAAATTGGACCAAAAATTATCGAAGTAATACCAGAAAGTGACCGAGTAATAGCTATCAAAATGATGAGTTGACCGGTAGACACCCTTACAAAACCTAGCAACATCAGACGCCGAGGACTGGAAACGTTTATAAGGAAAATGGTAGATAAGAGCTATATTGATGAGAGATTAGATCAGTGTAGTGGGAAAGGGAACACAAGATAACTTTGGATTGGAGAAGAGGAATGAAAGAGGCGAAAAGCTTATTGCATTTTATAACATATGATGTATGGGAATAAAGTCAATTATTATTATTATTAGAACAAGACCCATGGTTTGAACATCATAAACGGAGGCTCTAAGCATGGAACAGTCCAGGAGACAGGGTCAGGAATCAAATAGGTTATGTTGTTGCCAATGAAAGGTTTAAGAACAGTGTCATGCAGGCCAAAACATATCCCGGAGCAGCTGCTGACACAGACCACAACCTACATGCAATAGAATTGAGAACCAAGCTTAAGCATTTATAAAAGAAAAATAGCATTAAGAAGTGGGGCTTGGGAAGGTCACAACATATGAGTCACAAAGATTTTCTATGAATACCTATTACAAAGAGCTCTAAAAAGCACCTACCAAGTTCAGACGTGAAGGAAGAATGGTGCAACATTAAGGAAGTAGTAGTAACAAATGCTTTGAAAGACGAGGTAGAAAAAGAACTAAGAAGAGAGGGTATAAGAAAAAACGGATGACAATTCTGGACAAGACTTGATGAAAAAAAGGAAATTATTAATACTGAACGTCAATAGAAATATTTTTGTATGCTTCATAGATTGAGAGAAAACATTTGAGTGAGAGTGAATGCGGAAGAAACTGAAGAAGTGAATATAGGAAGAGGAATGAGACAATGGGGTCCTATGTCACCGGTGCTTTTCAACATCTATGCAGAAAAATTATTAGGAAAGACAGAAAAGAAATTTAAAGTATCGAAGATAGATGGTAACAACATAAAGGCAATAAAATACGTAGGCGACACGGTAGTACCTACTTGCAGAAACAGCGAAAGAACTACAACGAATGATGAAGGAAATAATATCGGTTGGAAGAGAGTTTGGAATAAGGTAAACATCGGCAAGACAAAAATAATTCTGATGAATAAAAAAGATGAAGAAGTAAAGATACAATTAGAAGGACTTGGTACAGATAGAGCAAATAAGATCATTTAAATATCTCGGTAGTACATATTATAAAATGGAACAGAAGTTGTACCTACGGAGAATGTAAAGAATAATAAAGAATATATCAAGGAGAAGAGGTGTGGCTTGAAGGACAGTAGACCTTCCTAACAGAAGACGAGCTTCGAAACACTGTGGAAATCCATCTACACAATCACTCGGCCAGGTTCCTTGAAGAGGGTATTGGAAAGCTTGTCCACCGGTATTACAAATGCCTCAATCAAAACAGTAATTATGTTGAAAAGTATAACCGAAGATGTATGCAACTTTTTGTAATAAATTTATTTTACGATACACATATTACTTTCATTTTTTACCCCAACGCCCATCGGAGGCTGAAGAAAACACCCCTCGTATATAATAAGGTTTTTACTAAAAAAACACCTCTTCAGTGACTAACCACCTGTTGTTGAAAGTGCTGTACGCATTCTCCATAAAATCAATACGAACTAGCTGGACGGAAACCATGGAAACCGTTTATCAAACAATGCCGTAACGTGTTGTGTTTATAGGTAGGTAAATGTCTTCAATGTGTAATTTCTTAAGCAGTCATTTATTTTGGTTCACATTTTTCTAACCATACGCACAACTGGACTTTTTGTAGGCTTCGATCAGGAGTATGAGGCACCTAAAACGCTATGCTCAGAAAAGGATTAGACAAGTTGTCATTGTTTCGTCACATTTCAAACACATTTAATTCAAATTTGGAACAAATGCCAATTGCAAGAGGCCAAGAGAAACCAAGAGGAAAGCATAAAACTGATGATGGTAATAAAGAAGCGGAGCATAAAGTATATTCGGCACAGTTTAATGGAAAACGAAGATGGAAGCAAAAAGGGGAATACGTTGCAGATGATGTAAATTTGGAAATAGGTACAATTGAAAAGCGGTCGCCAAGGGTAGGCACACGCGCTGTTTCCATATAATCAACAATTAGTTTTAGAATGAAGAATACTACAAAAGAAAAGTTCTTCATCTGAAAGAAAAGCTGACCAATCTTAAACACTTCAATGACGAAGTAATTAAAGAGAACTCTCAGATCAAGAACGAATACCAAGAATTATTGGTGCATTTTGAAGACATCCGTGATGAATTGGAAAGTAGTAAACACTGCCAGAACTGTTACGATTTAAAATTGGCCATAGAAAAGAATACAGACGAGTGTAATAATTTAAAAACGTTAAACACTCAATTAACACAAGATGTAAATATGTTAAAAAATGTCGTTTATAGGTAGGTAGGTAAACTTTTTGAAACAATACTGTACAGGTAACATAATCTTCAGGTTAAATGTCCAATTAGAACGCTACCAAGAAAGGCTACGCAAGTATAGAATAAGCACAAAATCAAACCAACCTATTCCAATGGAGGAAGTTGCAAATTTGGAGCTCGTCAACGAAACAATTAGTGCCCTCCCAGAAAGTCATGCCGATCATCCGCACACGCCGTTGTCTTGGGGCTCGGTTAACTCTCACACTTTGGGACCATTATTGGACGCCTATCAAGAGTCGGTTGACGAAAAAGATAACATAATTCAAAATTATGAATTGGAGTTATCTAATTTCACTGGCAGATTACAAGCGGTAATTCAGGAGAACGAAACACTGCATAAGCGCTTAACAGAGGACGATGATTGCAGCGCTAAACTAGTCGTTGAGCTGGAAAAGGTGAAAACCAATTTGAAAAACGCAAGGAACGAAAACGATCTACTTATCAAGAAATGCGCCTTAAAACAGGATAAATTACAGGAGGTTTTGCAATGTTACGAACTAAAGGGTAACTTCGGCCCCCTCTTTACACATTATTTACGCCATTTATTTAGTTGAACAATTGCGAAGGGATTACGCTGTCGTGGTCGAGCAATATCACAAAAGTAGAACGGAAATAGCGGGGTTGAGAGAGCGAAATACAACGTTGACGGATTCGTACGACGAATTCAAAAATGAAAGGAAAAATTATATCTCGCTTTCGATGCACAATAGCAGCATAAACGAGTGCAAAAGGTCCGGAAGGTTTTGTTTCTAATTCAGCATTTCAGTTTTCTGGTTTTAGGTTGTACGAAGAGCTGAAGCAGCAATACGAGGCCGAAAAAACGAAAATGAAAGAAAACGCGGACGCGCTCAACGTAATTATTCATAATGTAAAAGGGGAAAAGGAACAATACGAAACTAAACTCAAAACGTTAGAAAAAGCGTTAAAGTAAGTTTTTTTGGTACATGAACTTTTCCTAATTGTGTATCTATAAGGAAATTGGAAACCAAGCACTTGGATATGCAACACTGTTTCCACGAAGTTCAATTATCCAGAAGTGCGTGTCGAAAGCAGTTGCACAAGACGATGGAATTTGCGAAAGATTTGGTTACCGAACAGGAATCGTTAATGCAAGCTTTACATCATCGCCAACAAGAAAACAAGGCTGTTAAACAGCTGGGCAGTGATATTGCAAGTCGCATGGATATGTTAAAGAATCAACTCAAGGTAGGTAAACAGAAATGACTTTACTACTAAGCTAGGTTTGGGGTCTTTCTCTTGGTACGCCATTACTGTCACTGACTTAGCTGTGAAAAGCGATTAGCGTTTTGGATTTACCATATATCTTTGAAGTGGTTTCTCTCTTCTTTTGATGTCTGTGGCCGTGGCTCTATTGAAGCGTTTTTACGGATCTGCATTTGCATATAAATTATAAACTGTACAAGGTAGGTATGTTAAATTATTTCGCAGCATTCATTTCTTGATACATTTTTTAGAGCTTTATCGTCCCTCAAGTTTTTCCTCAGAGTTTTCTCATTGTTTCTCATCGTTCTTTCTTTTGGATTACCTTTTACGTTTTGTTCTATATACTTGGATATTACCTATTACCTACGCACTACTTCACTTCAAGTTTGTACTTGAAGATTTACCGGTTTGTTCCTGTTGTAACTGCAAGTCTAACGAACGTTTGGAGATTAACGATCTTGTAAATTGATCCGAAACTTCTTATTTTTTTACGCTACTTGTTTTGCTACGAAGATATATTTTCGAGATGCGATTTTGAGGACGATTAATACCTTTGTTACTACGAGAATTCATTTCTGTTAGTTTGATTCACGGGTGTAAATATAACTGGATGTCTGGCCCCTTGTACTTTATGTATGCAACAAGTAAGGCACCTCTATAACTATAAGGATAAGGGTTTAAAAGATATGAATAATCGTACCCGATTAAAAGTTGTTTTAAGAAAAAAACTGAAATGTGCCAATTTCCCAAAAATTAATTACAGAAATTAAGAGATAAAGTTTAACATAGAAGTTTCTGATTTCGATAGGGTAAACTCAAGAATATATTGAAATGAAGTTCAAGATGGCGGTTATTGAGATGTGAAAATTACCTAACTTTCTTAAATTAAATTGATTGATTCTCTTTTAAACGATGTAAGATAATTAGATAACGTATGACAACAAAGAATTGGGACTATTAAATCACTTGAAGACTTGGATGAATAAAAAGAGTTGGTACAATATTCAATTTCAGGTGCTCAAAAAAAGATTTTTAATTCTTTTTAGAGATGAAAGATAGCCTATCATCGATTAAAGAATACCTATAGGTAACTAAATATTTGGTTTAAAAAATTAACTGAGGCTAATAGTAGGCGTTCTCCCCTCGCATTTGTTTCGTATTGTTGCTTAAACCACCATTTAACACAGAAGACTTCATGTCACGAACTCACGACATCACGAATAAAATATAAAAAATTAGTCATCATTAAAAATGAATATAAAAGATCATACACAAGTAATCAAAATTATTTAATACAATAATCTACATCTGAAAAACAAAATCGATTAGTGGTATTTAACACAGTGCGATACATACCGGATGTTTTCGAAATTATCCAATCCAGATAAGAAGTCACTCTAGTATTAACAGCGGGCAAATCACCTCCACAGCCAAGATGATTAGAAATTACGCCAACCAACTGTAATCTCTTCGATTCACTATCGTACCATAAAAGTGGACCACCCGAAGCAAACTGGCACGCATCCTTACCAGCGCCATAAGAGCACAGTACGCTACTGAAAATCTTCTCACTAGGCAATTCTTCTTGGCGCTTATTATTACAAATTGTAGTAAGGTTTACTTTTTGAAGTTTTGGTCCAGTAGTCGTTCCCCACCCTACGAATCCAACCATTATGCAATGTATTAACGTGGTTAACAGGAGTTAACTACCCAATGCCAGCACCTTTTGATCATTGAAATCAAAATTTGAAAACCGAAAAGGTAAACACGCCGGGCCAACATCACTTCCAAAAGAAATTATTTTCTCAGTCTTGATAATGGAAATGTCGTTTTCTTTCGAACCCAAATTATACATATGGTGTCTTAGGATGTTTTCTATGGTATACAATGCTGCTGACGGGGTATCATCTCCTAAAGACGTTTCTCTATGAACGTCCAGCATTTAACTGGCCTATAGGTACCTACTGCCGTTAATATCATCATCACCAACCAATAAACCGAATGTTCTGACAGTTTCATTTAAGCCACAATGGGCGGCACTAATCGCGTACCTACTCGCGATAATGGTAGCACCACAGGATATTTTTCTCTTCTGTAAATGGACCAGTCCGGCCATCATTGGGAATTCGTTAACGACAGTTGGTACACCGCCAACTATCTGTCGCTATAAGAATTAATGGATTAATATTCGTTGTAAGTTCAATTTCGCTTACTTACAAGTTGACGTCATCCACAATCACACTTTGCTCTTATTGTGCATAAAAATCGTCCCCCCATGCTGTTCCAAGCCGCCGTTAATCCTATAATTTTAATACACTGTAATGCAGGTAACGACTTCGACAATTACCTATTGATATTCTATATTTGTTTCAGAAACGGTACTCAGCGTGCCTTTGCCGCAATAATTGCGTGCGTCCCGAAAATCGGAATCGCCTGATTTCGAAATGATTAGCTTGTCTTCTGGCAGTTCCTAGACTAAAATATATAGGTATTAGTCCAGTCAATCTAGTATTCCGTTTTCCCATAGAAACCTTCAAATTAAAATTCTATCGATGATAAAAATAGCTAAGTTAAAGTTTAAATTCTGCTTTTTCCGAAAATGACAGTAATATTGTTAATTTATTAAAAACGACTGCTCCTGACAAAGTTGTACGTAATTCAATAAGTATCGATTTTATTGCTAAAAAGGCATTTTTCATTTTCACACACATACACGCGTACGTACATACATACAGACATTTTTCAAAAACCATTTTTTGGACTCCTGGAACCTTGAATCTGGTGAAATATCAAAATCTAATTTGGAGTGATTTCAATAACCTCCCAATTTTTTATTGGTGATGTTAAAACCGGAATTATGGCTCAATGGTAGAGCGTTGAGTTATAAATCCGGAGGTCGGGTGTTCGAACCTGGGTTGAGGTGAATTTTTCATCTGTGGCAGAGATGGAAATTATCTTAGACCAGTTTCAAGCATTCTGCCGGCTACTCCGAATTAGGTTTTCCTGCAGTTTTCCTAATTCGTAAGGTAAATACTGGAGTAGTATAGAACAACTTAAGACCTTCTGCAGAGGCACCTCTAAAAAGCATTGTGCGGATCACTCTGTAATTGGGCGCAAACCTGTTGAGGGACCAGAACAAGAGAGGGATAATAAAAATTGTTGAAATTTTCTCCAACGGCGATTACGCCAAAGCATCAGCTGATGCGCACATCTCCTCGATCTGAGTGCGCGCTACGGAATAAATTTAAATGAGCGGCCAGCTACCATTCCAACGCATTATAAAATAACGTTTAATTTTCGTCTTTACGCTATTTTAATGAGAATTCATCGTTCATTTCTAATACGTTAATCGAAATGTAACTAGACGCTCATTTAATTTATCCCGTAGGGCGCACTCAGATTAAGGCTTATTATCCCCATACGACTACATGTAGAACAGTACCTATATACGAGTCTGATCTATGGTAAGTGTGCAAATGATCTTTCGAGTACACTTACTGGTGGTAAATTTATATCTTCACAAGTAACAGCAACAAGTGCGTTAGAACTTGTTTGGCAAACCCATCGGCATTTTGTTCCAGCTGCATATTTGGATGGATATTGAGGATTATAGATATAATATTTTTGTCCCAACCTTACGTCTTGATAATAGTCACATTTGTAATCAACTGCTGCTAAGGTTGACGTTATTGAAGATATTATGCACGTAAAGATTAGTATAACTCCCATATTTCTGGAAAAAACAATAACTGTTCCGACATCAGTTGATAGTATCTAGGATGTTAAAAAAATCATACACGTTCGAGAACATTAGAATATACTGACAAAGTTAAGTTGGAGATCAGTTTTGTTTGCCAAGGTGTTATAAGCAGTTGTATTGTAACCGGAGCTCGCTTTGCATTGAATGGGGTAAAACTGTCCACTGTCCTCGTCCAGTGTTCTTGGCCCTTCTTTTTCAACCTGTATCGCGCACATGGTGAAACAATTCGTTTCTGAGCTTAATTAGCTTCATTAAGCTTCTCGCCTCTCTACCATAATGTCCAAATTGTTCTTTCTGCCAACTGTGTTGACCTTCTTGAAAACACCTCTCCATTTTAACCGCATTTTCTAACTCATGTAAGTTGGAAGGCGGCGCTATTATGGCCACTTCATCCGTCTGTCCGTCCGAGATATTTAGTTCATTCTTTTTGCATTCGGTAGTTTATAGCTCTGGCACCTCAACGGCTCAACCAAGAAAAATCTTGACGAAACTGCGCAATGTCATCTTTCCTATTTATGAAGATATGTGTTTGAAATTTTAACTTATTTATGCATAGCTTATTTTCCTTTGTACACATAAATATTATATCGTTACGTGACCTTTTGGGAAGTATTGATCAATTCATGGAAAATGTGCTTACCTTACCTTGAGATTTACAATAATGAAAATACTTATACGCAAAAACAACAACACAATAGAGTTAAAAGATTTCTCCTTTTCTGTACCTATATGGCTACTGGATGACTTTAGGACTATTAGGAGTATTATAGATACCTAATTATGTTAGGTTAGTAAGACCTATAAATTTGCAACATTGCGGGGTAGGGCTACTGCCCCTTCGTAAGAATGAGATTTCCATATTATTCATTCAACCGATCATAGTATGCTATATCGGTGTCGTCAACATAATGCGTTTACTAAACTAGTGGATAGTAAACATACCTACCTACTAAAAGTGAACGTTAACATATTAATAAAATAATATAACGAGACAGTGAAAACATTTAACTAAAATACAAAAATATATCCCTGTACATTTTAGGACACCAATCGGCAAATAAAAATTCTTCAAAAGAGTAAAAAACGTTAATCTTTACATTGGACAAAAAAATCTTTTAAAATGACTTTACGAGAAAAATACTGAGTCCATTATTCGAGAATAGTTACCACCGACATAAACAATCCTAAAACAGTAATCGGTGGCTGAATTTTAAAAATATCCACGGTTAATAGAAAACCAGAAGTTTGGTGGAGTTAATGTAATCACGTTACATACACAGTTCTATAGGGTGACAGACAGACAGACAGAAATTTTCTAAAATACTTCTTACCTTAAAGAATGTTCCTTGTTGAAAATCCCACCGTAACAGAATGGCATAGTAAGTATAAAGGTAAAGAAAGGCATCATTAGCAGATTATCAGACAAATTGGTCAATTAGATGGTTGCAATTCTGCTAACGGGTACGATAAGTCATTATCTTTTATTTTTTTATTTTTTTTATGTGCGGTATTACGTAGTTTTTTTTTCACATTTCATTTTTAGCGAAAGAACGCTATTGTCCGCACTTTGTCCGCGCTTTGTCCGGCTGTCTGTCTGTCCGTCTGTTCATCTGTACTCCAGTTTAAGATTTTTCGTTGTGGTTTCTTTCTTATACGATGTAGCACAGCCCCAAGATCAGAACGGCAAAAGATTTTTTGGATTAATCACTTATTTTTCGAGTTGCTACTGATTCTGTGCGGGAAAATGCGCTTTCATCGGTTGCGACTGACCAAGTTTTTAATGTTTTAAATTTTTTTCTGTGTCTGGGACTACACGAAGCTGAGACTGTTCTACCAAGCTAACCCACTCTACACTTACAATTATCCATGCCCGAACACGGATTCGATACAGAAACCCTTTTGGTCATACCTGTGGGTCATTTCATAAATTGTCAGGAAAGTCCATCCGTCCTATGTATACTTAGATGCAATGGGTTTTAAAACAGTTCGATTCATGGAGATTTTGTTGTGAATTGGCTAGTATTAGTTATGCCACTACGGCCACGGTATAAGCTAGTTGAGGTTTTAAAGAAAATCAAAGATCATAGTATTTGAGGAAATGAATAAAGAAACACATTCACCGTTGTAATGTAGTAAATATCCGGTTGCAAAAACTATCAATTAACTACAAATATAAGATATGACACTAATATTCATACTTTTTTAGGCCGTTCAACGAGATGCTTGGCAAGAACTTTCAACGGTTGAACAAAGACTACAAGACCAAGATTCCGTAATAGTTGAAATGAAGCGTGAGCACAGTCTGGAAGTTGCACGACTTAAAGAAATTATAAAACAAAAGGACCAATTCAACTCACATCTTAAGGATACGAATTCTTCCACTCCATTGCCTCATTATCTACTATTAAAAGACAAAATTGTGAATTAAAAGCGTGAATGCATAGGTATAAGGTGCTTAAATAATGTGTTCTTATTTTGCTTTTACAATGTAACTCAATTCGGATTTAATTCGATGCAATTTTATAGTTTTTTCAATAAAATTAAAAATTGGATATTGTTCAACAATTTTGCAGGCGTTACCATGCTCCCAAAACGTGGATAAGAAATCTAGTGTCGATTTCGTCTGAGATGCAGCAAAACACATTACCTTGACGCACAGGAATTAATTGTGTGTTCTTATATTCCTCGCTTTCTGGTTAAGTTCGCAGATTTGTTTACCAATTTCGTCTGAAAAACCGAAAAACACATTGCTTTGATGTGAAGGAGTAACACTATCAATTGATAATGAATAAACCCCTAAAGAGCATCTAAAAAAGTGACAGAGCACCTCGCTGGGACCCTACGGGGTCATGCGATTTGACCCATTTTCAATAGACTTGTTACATGTGGCATATAGGTTAAATGTGTGTGTGGTTGACTGGTCAGTCGAGCAATCGGGTAATGATGGATATCGTCTGATGGGCCTCCAAAATGATAAATTTATTTTTTAAAAATTATTTTTCATTTGCCTATTATATCATATAATATGTATATGCCAATTGCATCTGTCATAGGAGATATATAAAGCACTCTATTACACCCGAGGGCATAATGGATTGTCATCTCATTATGCCCTCAAACGACCTGGCATATATATTGATGGAATTATATTATGTAATTAAAAAAGGTGCTACTTGATTCGTATGAAGCATTTTAATTTTAGGCAAACACTCAAACAGTAATCATTATATTTGTATATTGGAAATGCATTATTTGGCACGATGAAAAATAAAATTTTGTATGCACCTCAGGCATTACTCGATATTTAACCCTCGGGCGACTTACAATCCCTAGGCATAAATATCGCCTTAATGCCCTTGATAAATAAATAATAGACTATTATTAATTTCTTGGCACAGTCCGTACGGTTCATTCAACCGGAACTCGGAACGTTTATCGGTTATTCGGTTTATCCAGTTTTCAGTTGCTTCAGTGAGTGTTTAAAGAACTGTTTGTTCAAAAATAACGCAAGGGGCGCACCACCCCATAATCTGCAATTAACAGTTGGATCGGTAATCATTAGGTTATGTGGTGGAACATAAACCAGCCACGTCTTTCTAATGGCATCTGAATGGTTGGGATTGGGGTGCCTTTGTGGGATCAACCTGGAAAATCAATGTTTTTCACATTACCAACTTTACTGTATGTCGCCTGTTCACGTGTCGGAAAACCTTCAACATTATTTATTTATGCACCAGAAAATAAACCCATAAAGAGCGTCTCAAAAAGCGACAGAGCACCTCGGTGTGACCCTACGGGGTCAACTGTGCAAAGTTTGAACCAAATCGGTCCAAGCGTTTGACAGTAGTTATCGTGTTCACGGACAGACGGACACCGTCGACTTGCATCGCTTTTCTCTGCCGCTTAATAAAACCAAAGAGTAATTATTAAGTATTCTTTGATAAAACTGCCATGTTGCGTATCGAAAAGCATAACATAAACACTACGTTTTTGCAATAATATTTGTTTATTATTTATTCCAGTTGGAATTTAACATGCATAGTTAAAACAGGAAAACGTGTGTCGGGTCAACTAGTTAATTAATACAATTTTCAAAATAATTATACGTAAGTACAGAATATAGAATCCGATTTGTAGTATGAATTACAAAACATCACGCACGTTGCATAAGAGCAGAGTGGCGCAGTGGAAGCGTGCTGGGCCCATAACCCAGAGGTCCGTGGATCGAAACCACGCTCTGCTAAAACTTTTTTTCATTGTGAATGTAATTTTCCTTTTTTATTAACAATGGATACAATTTTATTATGTATACTACTGTGTTATCGTAAGTCATTCGGGTTAAATAAATTATACACATTGTATGAAATTTATTACTGATATGTTATTTATGTTAGTTGACTTATTGGCCCGTATGAATAAAAATAAGCAAATGCTTATACTTGCAAAATTCAAAGTAAATACTCGTAAGCTTTGAATATAGACTACTAATATAATCAAAGCTCGTAACGTAAGTGTTCCTTCGCACTGGGCGACTAAGCAGCGCTTCTAAGCAGAAAGACAGGACGCAGTGCAGCGTTGCTAAACCCGAGGCTAAACCATGCTAAACAGACCAGTATGAAGGGGTAGTTACTAGTTAGACTAGTTACGAGTATTTACTTTGAATTTTGCAAGTATAAGCATTTGCTTACTTTTATTCATACGGGCCATTGACTGTGATACGGTGCTTCAAAGTTTGATTAGTCATATATTCGTAATATAAGAATGATAAGACAATGCAATTGCATAATAATATGCTAAATTTGCTATTTATCTAATGACACATTTAAATACCTATTAAATGTGCTACTTCAGCACGAAGGCGCCGTGGCTTAGTTGGTTAAAGCGCCTGTCTAGTAAACAGGAGATCGAGGGTTCGAATCCCTCCGGGGCCTGACTTTACAACAATTGTGAAGTTTTTTTTAAGTTTATGATCGGTTCAAGCATAATGTAAATTTTCACACTATCGTGCAAATAACGACTATTTCTTTTTAACGCAATTTAAATAAATAAAAAAATGGGTTATTTTCTTAGTTTTTCTTTCCGTAAGAACCTTAGTATTAGTATAGAGTAAACAACGTTTACTCTATGGTATTAGAAAACTTAAAACAAATGTACCTATTAGACTGGTTCACTTTTCGAAATTTCTCTGTCCTAGGGGCATTTCAGACAACATTTGGCCAACAAGGCTTTTTTTTACTAATTGGCACCTGCTGAACACGAATATCGATGTTGGCACCTCGAAATCTGAACAGGAAGTCCAGAATTCAAGATGGCGGCCAATTTCCGAAAATGTTGATCTTTTCACGCATGCGACCGATTTTTTCGATATAAAAACTAATTATAATGTTATTCCTGACGTACGTCACGATAATAATAGTTAACTATTGTTTTAACAATAATGTAATAGTTTTTTTTAGCGGCAGGATGCGTAAAATTAAGAATTGCGAAATTCCTACCTCGACTTGCAAAACGATTGTTTCTAGTAATCCTGACACATATAAGTATTCCCGACATGCGTTTATATTGCATAATTCTCCTTGTAAAGTTTTGATAACTACAATCTTTCGAATTTTACGTTAATTCTTATATGAAAAAAATGAAGGAGTTCAACTAAACTGTGGTGTTTCGGAAGATTCTTATTTTGCTAGGTATTAATTACCGTTACTCAGGATATATTATTATTATTCAAGTATATGAAAAGTGAAGACAAATTTATCTTATTTTCATGGTTAGGTCAATCGTCTTCTTGAGAATATAGGTAGTACAAATCAATTGAGCCTTGCAACATTAACAAAGTTTTGACGAGCAATCCTATTTACAACGACAAAGGACGATATCTAGAGCAGCCTTCGGAATTAATCTAACGTTGTGAGAATGGGAATGTAGCCATTTTCAATTCCTTCCCCAGAAAATAGGATTAGATATGCTAGTCTGAGCGACATTTCAGAGTTTAAGGTCAAAGAAGTACCTCTTGAGATTTACACCTGATATGCCGTAATTATGGAAATGGATGAAATGCTAGAGAAGATTGGATGGAATCCCAAGAGAATGGAGTTCAGAATTGTTAGATCTAAAGCTTCGCAGCTCCTGAAACCTGGCAATGCTTCTCCACTCTGGGAAGTCCTACTTGGGCAACCGAGATGGGGCCAGAGACGTACACATTCTTCCAAACGGACGTCTGGTAGCGACTTCTCCCTACCGAACTAAGCGTGACGCGCAGCGTCGGTGGAAACTATGGTATCAGCTACCTAAAGAGAAGAAAAGACGCCACCTAAAATGTGCGAGTCAAGTCGATGCTCTGAACAAGTGAAGTTTCATGTACCTAGTTATGATACCAACCTTGTATAGTTTTGTCACGAAGATTTTTGCAAAAGATCTCAGCGTGAACAGTAAAGAAGAGCGCTTTTGAAACACTCTCTAGTTCACCTCCGGGTTCGGATATAGATATTTGTAAATGTCTAGTGGGTTGGGTTGGTAGACCAGCGTTGCCTGAAACCCCCCTGCTTAGAAAAAAAAGGTCAAAAATAAATAAATAAATAAAAATAAATGCATCCAAGCGTGGAAATTCACAACAGCAATGACGTGACATCACTACTCCTGTGATAGCGTAAAAGGACAGGATATTCGTTACTACTCCCTTTGGCCAGTTCCTCTGCACATCATTATGGATAGGAACAAAGACTATCTTTCTTGAAGTACCGGTCAGCAACCAAACTTAGTTTGCCAGTATTTTCTTGAGGTGATGAAGAAGCAACAGAAATACATCTGTATCTGTAGCGTTATTCTAGTATCCGCTTCCGCTTCTAAGGAGGAAATCTATGTCGTCTGACGGTTACAGAAAACTTTTCTTTCATCACTGAAGCCTCCAGCAATCACCAGTACGCCGTCAAATGAGGCGTTTTCAAGGTGATGCGACAATAACTCGTCTCTTTCCTCTAATGAAAGGAAATTCCTCCAAATGTGAGGTAATGTAACATCGCGGATATCTATCACACGACGGCCGACGCACAGGAACTAAAATGCTTGCCAAAACAGAAATAATTTAATAATTACACGATGTGAAGAAATTTAAACAGTAGCCATAGTATTATGAAAAAAAGGTTTCCACTTTTACACACTTTGACGTTAGAAAAACTATGTTCACTATTATTATCGTGCCGTACCTCCTTCAGGAATAACATTATAATCCGTTTTTAGATCGAAAAAATCGGTCGCATGAGTGAAAAGACCAACATTTTCGGAAATTGGCCGCCATCTTGAATTCTGAACTTCCTGTTCAGATTTCGAGATGCCAACATCGATATTCGTGTTCAGTAGGTCCAAATTAGTAAAAAACGTCTATTTGGCCAAATGGTGTCTGAAATGCCCCTAGAACTTGTTAAACGGCTGTTTTTTATAAAAGTGAACCAGTCTATATAAATTGCGCACAACTCTTGTGCAGATAAAACGCATTTTTTTTAACAGAAAAAACTTAGAAAATGGTTGCGTTATAAGGTAGTAGCATGCTATATTTATCGATGTTTTCTTTCTTGGTAGATGATTAATGGGGAGTGGGCTCTTTACATATAAGCATTCAAAGGTTGTCTGGCATAGGTGCATTCAACATCTACGCTATATACTGCAAGAAGAAACAAGCCCTTAGAGAAAATCTTCGAAATATTGCATTTTCCCTGTGCAAGTACCTACCTTCCTGCAACATTTTCGAGATATTCACTATTAAGTTTTTATATCGCCGGCAGATGTGTCTCGTTTAGACACTTTTTCTGCCCTTTGAGAGTACCCTCCCCCAACACTCCTTTCTGCGGATATTTGCAATAAAAATTTTGACATTACCCTTAGATATGTCTCGTCCTGACGTTTCACGTGCCCTTATGAGTACCCCCTTCCGACACTTCGTTTTCAAGATATTCGCGTTGACTTCATCACCAATAGATAATAATATATTTATCCAAAAGATCCTAAACGGATATAGAACAAGTTAAGGGCCGCACAATATGATTATACATACAAGAACAAAAAATTAAGGTTCTAAATCAATATCAACATAGGACATAAATTCAAAACACTACCTATAGAAACAATTTACAATTAAAAATTTTTTGAGTTTTTACGTCCAAACAATTCATTTTGCCTTTGTGGGTACTTTCCTCCGGCAAACCGTTTTCGAGATACACCACCTTATAGTGAGAAGGGGAGCATTCTGGATCGTCCATGTTCGTCAATTCTCAGAACATGGTGAGCACTGGAAAATTTACGACTACACCACTGCTTAGACCAGGTGATTTAGATAAAAACGTCGCTCATTCTACGAATTAACGAATGGCACACAACAAAACATCACCTTACCAGCTCGCTCCACCCAGGACCAGCTATTTGTGGTTAGAAAATAATAGCAATCTTTGGAATGCTCTTTTTTTAGTTGGTTTAGTCAAATTCGTTTCAAAGGTATAACTCAAGATGAGATTCCACGTATATTTGTTTCGTCGTTGTTATTGTTTTATACACTCTAGTCTCTTTTTGTTCTCAAGATGAGCAACAGACGGACGAACGGACGGACAAAACCATCATATTAGGGAAATTTCTTTCGAAAACTTCCCTTAAAAAGCGTCTGCATACTCACTAGAATATTAATAAAACTTGAATGTTGCTGTATACTTATAATTGTAATATATTTTCTTTAGGTTGTCGATTTCGGCCCTAGGCCATCTTCAGACCTTGCGTCATAAAATACATGTAATATTGAAATATACTCGGAAACATATGTAAAATGGTTAAAACTTGAATTAAAATAGTTGTAAAATGGAGATGTGGTGTGTGTGTGTGTCCACATCTCCATTTTACAACTATTTTAATTCAAGTTTTAACCATTTTACATATGTTTCCGAGTATATTTCAATATTACATGTATTTTATGACGCAAGGTCTGAAGATGGCCTAGGGCCGAAATCGATAACCTAAAGAAAACATATTACAATTATAAGTATACAGCAACATTCAAGTTTTATTATCGCATCCTTATAATTCCAATAATGGAGCAATTCATCGATAATGTCACTAGAATATTATTTTTTTAATGAAAAATTCTAGTTAAAAAAAACTACACGCATTGAATAACAGATAACAAGAGCTATACATTTCAAGTACTTTTCGCTTCCACTCACCCCTCTTAGCTATGTTGCGTTTGTTGAATCATTTGCTAACGTCAATTATTGATCTTGATTTATCGGTGCCGTTTAAAAAATTTTCAAAACTTGTTATCGTCTACTATTCGTCTAATTAATTAAAACTCCTTGGGACTCTGCAATATAGGACATACAATAATACAGTTCGATTTTACGCTTTCTCAATTGTTTAAGTTAGTTTACATTTCATGTAATTAGGCCTGTTTGGAATGAATAAATAAATAAATAAAATGTTCCATTTAAAAAAATTATATTGTTGCGAATATTTCAAGAAATATGACGTGCCTGTTTTATTTTATTTTATTTATTATTCCTCTCTTGTTCTGGGCCCTCAACAGGCTTGCACCCAATTACAGATTGACCCGCATAATGCACTGTTCGAGAACATTTTAGAAAAACTCGGGAGTGTTCGAGAACTATCAATAAAGAGCTATATAGGCAAACCGACTTATGATTCAGGACAGTTCCAATTTTAGAGCCGAAGTAATAAATAGTTCACGCTGTTATAAATTGTGCATCTGTGAGTGATTGATATATAATACTTTAAATGTAATTCAATCATTTCTAGACTGTTATAAATTTATTGTTAACTACTTGTACAGAATTAAATTTACGTTACAATATTGTTGTTGTACCTCTTAGCTGTGGTACGCCACTGTGCTTTTTAAGATACATTAGGACGACTCGTATCACTTCTACAACTTTTACGTTTAATATATATCTAGCGATCAAAAATGAGTGACTATCGAATCGCCTTTGTAAGTTCAAGTTAAGTACGATTTGCCATGTAAACAAAAATGTCAAAGGTGACTAGACGGTCACTCATTTTTTATGGCTATATATATCACTATCTGCGATGATAACAAAAATATCCATTGGTAGTTTATAATCAATATCGCTGTACACTATTTTTCTTACGACTTCCACATAAAAAGCAAGTGAAAAGGTTATTTATAGTTACCTATTCTGCAGTTTTTTGCAGGAGCTAGATAAGCACCGCTCATCTTTTAGAAATTAAGAAATAATGTACCCAATTATGATAAATTACATCGGGTCCAACGATTCTGTAATACTGCTTTTAGTTTGACAGCTCGTGTTCCATGCTTCTAGCAAAGAGTACCCACTCTTTGCTTCTAGTACAACCAGTTGGGTTCCGTGCTTCGAAGATATGATATTGATTTTGTCACTCGTTCTAGTATTCGTTTTTGGGTACTTTTGTGTTTTATCATTATCCCATTACGTTAACTACCGCAAATATTTACATAAATATCCCGGTCCACGATGTTACCCAATTATTGGAAATACGTTTCATTTCGCAAGAGGAACAGGTAATTTAAAATTGTATTATAATTTGTTTGTAAATTAAAATATTTCTGACGTAGGTATATGCATTTTTGAAAAATAATTATAGGTAACCATAGCTACGAAATATAATTTAAAAGACGAAAAAAATCCCAAATTGCTGGTATTTACATTGAAATATTGACGCAGCATTGTGTGTATGACAGGTTTAATATCGACAGGGAAAATTTTTATATTAAAATTTCATCTAGAATAAGAGTAATTAGTTATACTTGAAAACAAAAAATAAGGCATTAAAATACGTGTGATGAATTATAATTCAAGGTTATAATCTACGTCATAATTCGTCCAAACAATTATAGCTGTATTAACTAATTTCTGAATTTTTTCAGACGACATAACGTATGCTGCGCGCGTACGTATGCGCCCTTAGAAACTCATCAATTAAAAAATTTCGATATTTATTTCAAGACTAGCTGACCCGACGGACGCTTTCCTCTTTCTTAGCTATGAATACCTATTAAATTCGGCCTGGAATAAATAATTACAAACAATTATTTCAAAAAATTTGCTGTGGCTAGCACAGGTACCACCCGCCCCACCTGCGCATGCGCGATTCTGCCCTTTTATGTCTAAGAATATGTGTAGCAAATTTGGTTTAAATCGGTTCAACCGTTTAGCCGGAAAAGAGATTTTGACACACTTGCCCCAAAATCTCCCCATCTCTCCCCAAAATAATAAAAAATAAACGCACTCACTTCTAGTTGCTTTTGGCGATTCAGAGCTAGCAAGCAAGGTACCTTTTTTTGTTGCGCCAAATGCCGTAATTGAAAGCAATTATTGTATTTCTGGATATGAGTCAAAAAATGTATAGAATCAGGCCCATTTCCGGAAACCAAAGAATATAGTGGCTCTGGCGGTACCAATGGCGTTAATTCACATGGCCACTGGCGCAACATAATCCCGGGGCGTCAGTTTTAATCTTAAAAGCCTTGCAATGTGGACACACAAAGTTCTTGTACTGTAATTCGATTGCTACGTTATAATTAAATGTAACTCGATAGGGATTAAAGGGGACATTTCTGCATTGTTCATATCGATTCCGTTAATTCGTTTCGCGCTTCGCTTTTCTCGTCAGCTTGACTTAAGGCTCCTCTGTAGTCAATCCGCCATATTGGAAAAATTGCTAAAGTTTCTTATGAAATGCTGCTTTTGTAGTTGAAGTCTAACAAATTCTCGATAGTAGATATTCTTTGCAATGATGAAAAGAACGGCCTTAGTTTTTTAGGAAGATCGATGAATAGAAAAATCGTTTTTTGTAGATAACAGCCGTTGTAATGAGGCTAGAAAAACGTACAGCACCAATTTGGAAATCCGACAGTATTTCCTACGGTGGTACTTAAAGATATTATTTCCACCTATTATGATAAGGCATATATTCTAAAAAATATGTTTCGCGATCTTCCGAAAAAAATCAAAACGCTAACGTAAGGATAGGCAATTCAAATTGCACTTATAACGCCTGAGGCGACAACTCATTACTTAAAAGGGAAAACAAAAGAAACTACCTGGCATTACCCTACACATTGTTACGCCGTTCCTAATGATATGGATTAGATAAATTACTATTTATTATTTATTTATTTGAATGCTGTTGATTTGTAAATCATAATGTCACATATTCCAAAGACGAAAAATGGATCTCCTATTATAGGTACATTGGAAATAATTTTTTTATTTCTAAAACCTTTTGCATCCCATCACGATGCTTCAAGAAATACAAAAAAAACCTTATAATGAGGCTGTAATATTTCCCTTTGACAGGGCGGGGGGTACGTACAATACTAGGTACTTCACATATTATATCATAAGTAGTGCTGAATATGAACTCTGTTTTATAACAATGCTTTCAAACTACCAAAGGCGTAGTTTAGTTAGCTGAAATCAAATATGACTAAATTACACGTTTGTGTATATTTCCCATCTAAAATTATCAGTTTCCTCAGATAGTCCAGTATGCGGAGCAGTCAGAAGGGCCGATTCCTGCAAAATGTGGTGTAAACGATTTTAACGTTTTAAATGGTCCATTTGGGTCCAAATAACATGTATTTGAAGAGTGCACACCAATTTCTTCCCGGCACAACTTTTGGCAGCCAAAAAACCTCAGTTTTTCGCTTAAAACTCGAAATCGGTCCATATTTTATGAATAACACTTCTTTAGTAAATTAAAGAAAACAAAATTCAGCGTCGATAAAAAAAAACAAACAAAATCGGTCCAATAGAAACATTTTTACAAGCGATCATTCATGCACATGTACCTAATAACTAAAAATCTATAAATCAGTAAAAATGATTAGAACAAATCACAGGAAATAAAGGTGTAATTAAAAAATGTTATAACAAACAATGCTAATCTAGTCCACTAATTACCTGAAAACCAGGTAATTTACAGAAGGTGTCATTATAGAGAAATGCAGTAAATGCATTTAATAAGTAATTTATTCAACGGTAACAGAAATAGGTATTTGTGCATTCCCAGTCAAATATTGTACAGCTATTCGATAAACTTGTTTACCTAATTAGTTCCTGATCATTATACATGGTCTATTGTGTTTAACAATAAATGAAGATATGCAAAACTGAGAAGGATAGATACATCATTGGTTTCACTCAAGGAGTAGGTAGGTACATCATGTAGCAGTGTGTATTGTTGGTGGTCTAACCAATTGCAATAACACTGAAATACAAATTGACTACAGAGGAGCCTTAAGTACTCGTATATATGTTTGACTTGTAGGATTACGAATTCTGCGACTTAAGTTGGTACCATGTTGGTACGTCTAATTAATAGCATCTTGAAAAAACTAAAATTCAACTGAAAATAGAAATTGACTCCCTAGTGTTTCTGTATAACTATGTATACCACGTGTTTAGTCTATCAACCTTCAACACTTAGGTACCAAAAATGGATATTAGGTATATCTAACTTTTAATATAAAAGGCGTGATTGCGGTGAAATAACTTCGAAACTTCTCAAAAAACTCACTGAAATCTGGATAAACTATCCGATCGAATTGACAGCACACTATGATATGAATAAATTAATTTTAGACGGATATATGCCGATCCATTACCGATCGATGTAGCTGTTAAAACAATTGCCGTCGCACCGTCAAACGCGCGATGTTTAAATAGTCGATAAGTTTTCTCCAAATTTCCAATTTTCTGCGCGATTTTCTTAGATTTTCTTGCCGTAAGAACCTTCTACACAGTATTAGAAAACTTAAAAAAAAAGATGAATGAAATCGGTAAAGTCGTTCTAAAGTTATTACGTGACCAGAAGAATCAGAGGTTCATTTTTATATATAGAGATATAAATACAAGGTGTAATAATACCCGTAAACCAAAAATCAGAAACCAGAAGACAGACCAAAGCAGGAAAACAACATTTTTTTTAATTAACCGAGTGTCCAAAATGTTTCGCTTGGGAACTACGTTATCGCTTATATATGTATACGAACAAAAATCGTATATTAAACGTAGGGTATTAAATTGGTCTACAAAAAAACGTATACGTTATCCTTTCAAAACGCTTTAAAACCGTTTATTAAACGTAAGTGTGTTGGCTGGGTACTTTTCTCCCCCACACGGCATTTGATTTGCATCTACACGGTTATCGATTATTAAACTAAACTTCAAACTGTATACACCCCGTATCGTACCTTTGCTGGATTTTTTTATTTTCCCATTGAAACATACATGTTTTCTATATTACGCCTTAGATTGATACATGTTTGGGTAATACCTTTTTTTAGGTTTAATACCATCTTTAATGAAGTGCAAGAAGAAGTATGGTGATATTGTACACTGCATGCTTCCATTTTCCCAAAGACTATTTCTAACTGGCGCAAAACCCGTTGAAACATTACTAAGTTCCACAACCTTACTAGAAAAACCCCTCATTTACAAATTCTTTCATCCTTGGTTGGGATTGGGATTGTTAACTGGATCTGGTATGTAACCTTATGATTATTATTAGTATAAAAGATTTACCTATCAAAGAAAAACATTTAATGTTTTATTTTTAGGCGCACGATGGAAGCACATTAGAAAACTCCTAACGCCAGCGTTTCATTTTAAAATTTTAAAGCAATTTATCGACATTTTTGATAAACAAGGTAACATATTGATCAATATTCTGGAAAAATGTGACGGAAAGGAAGTTGATGTATTCCCATACATTGCCTTGTGCTCTTTGGATATCATATGCGGTACGTTCAGGTATTTGTTTGTCTTTATCACTAATTGTCTTTAGAGGCGACCATGAACACGTCAGTGGATGCCCAATTCGCTCCCAATTCAGAGTACGTTTCAAGCGTGCATGAGATGTGCGCCATTGTATTTAGAAGGTACCATTCCCCGCTAAAGGCGTGGGATGCTCTTTATAAACTTTCTAAAGATTACCAAAAACAAAAGAAGGCACTTACTATCTTGCACGGTTATAGTAACGCAGTTATTAAGAGGAGGAAGAAGGAATTGGAAGATGCCAAATTGCATATCTCGAATAAAGAAGATGAAATGGGTAACAAACATCGATTAGTATTTTTGGATTTGTTGTTGCTTAGCGAAGTTGATGGAAAACCTCTACCACATAACGTCATTAGAGAGGAAGTCGACACCTTCATGTTTGAAGTACTAAAACATCCTTAAGAAAAACGCCCAAGTGTTTATTTACATGCTTACAGGGACATGATACGACAACATCTGGCATTAGCTTTACTTTGTACTGTCTTTCCAAGAATCCCGAAGTTCAAGTAAGGATTTATTTTGAGAGCAGTTTCTTTACAATAGTACAGGACAAAGTGTTTACAGAGCTGAAAGTCATCGATCCACAGGGTCGTAAAGCATGGGCGTATGACGATTTACAACAAATGAAGTATTTGGAACAAGTAATTAAAGAATCGCTGAGACTGTACCCTCCGGTCCCCTTATTTGCACGAACACCTACGGAAAATGTCGATTTTGGTTTGCAGGAAACACAGTACCTACACTGTAAGAAGCTTTAAAAATTGCAGCTTACAGGAGGCACTCTGGTACCCAAAGGTATATCCTTGACGGTCTTTACATACGGCTTACATCGATGCCCAAAATTATACCCAAATCCAGATGTATTCGACCCAGAACGATTTACTCCAGAAAACTCACGAGCGCGATCCATTTATGGGTATGTACCTTTTAGTACAGGTTCAAGAAATTGTATAGGTAGGTATAGTGGTTGATGTTAACAAACAACAAAAAATGGGAACCATTTTAGGTCAACGATTTGCAATGTTGGAAATAAAGTCGATAGTGGCATACTTAATACGAGAGTTTAAATTGTTGGAAGTAGTTGGGCATGAACCTGAGCTAACAGTAGATGCGATTTTGAGGCCACAAAATGGGCTGCCTATTCGATTTGTAAAGAGAAATAATAATATTAAAATGTAATTCTATCACAGAATACATATATGTGTACCTATACAGAAACACATTTAGATATACAGTGTGTCCCAGATCGCGTGGGATTGCATGGGTAACTTTCTTATTATGTGCAGTTTTAGATGCTTATTTAAAAGTTCCTTGTGGATAATGTGGATATGATATGATATGGATTCCACGTTTTCGAAAACTCCCGAGTAATGATTTCTAAGCGATTTCTCAACCTTTTTTATATATGTTTATAATTTTGCAAATAATGTAATAATAAATCATTTTTTGCACCCCTTATGCAATTTTCAAAAAAGGGCTCAACCAGTATAACTATTGTACAACATTTTTCTTCGTATTTTTGTGAACACTGCGCCGAAAACCACATTTCAATACAAACTGTTTGCAAAAATTTACCACTTTCGGGCAAAATCGTTCTAATTTTCCTGGTGTATTTAGTAATCTCATAATTTGCATTGAGATAATCCGTAGTTTCTATAAATGAAATGTGACTCATTTTACTGTATTTCTAACGAAATTTGGTATAAAAACGTCAAAATTCAAATGATTAGCCTTCCTAAATACAATTACATTTATTCGATTAATTGTATAGAAGTTCTGTGTGAAACGTCGACCTTTTTACTGCAACGAAGTCCAAGTGACCCAGAACAAATTACTTCATACACAGCCGGCGGTGTTCAAAGTAGCGCCTATTTCGAGCATAAATTCCGTCCGCTCGTCCATCCGAGACGTGGAGATCTCAATCTGAGCAGTGAAGATCCGAGTGTAGTGGATAAACATTTACACGGGCGTGTCGAAGGTTACGTTCAAAAAGGAAGGAAAATGAGACAATAATCTTGGTAATGGATGACCACTTTCGAATGCTTTGCGAAAACGAAGATGCACATTAGAGGGATGGAAATCACAGTTTGTGCAGGAATGGGCAGCCTGTACCTAGCGTCGCTAACTTAGGTTTGCCTACGCAAATCTAGCATTGCTGGGCCTCTCCAGTCAAAGTTATTTCATAGAAACGGACTTTGCCTGATGTGTAATCCAGCAATCTTAGGTTTGCCCGATGTGGTTAGACAATGTTCGAAATCATTTTATGTATGTAGGTATTTAAAAACGGAGATATAGGGTGTCCCAGTTGAAACTGACGCATTTTATCCAAAAAAAAAAAATAAAAGCGAAAATTTCAAAAAAATGTTTCCCAAATTATACAAATTGAATCAAGCACAGCTATACGTTCACAATATAACTGAATCTGTAGCGTAAAAATCGTTACGTAGCATGCGTTGAAGCGGTTTACGCCGGTTCTCACCATCTTCTGAAAGATATTTCGAACATTGCCTAACCGACAACCGGCAAACCTAAGATTACCGTAGTAGATCAGGTAAAGTCCGTAATACGAAATAACCTCGGAACAGTGCCTGAAGTGAAGAGGTCCGGTAATACCAAAGCATATAAAAATTGAATAAAAACACTAAGAAGCCTAACGTTTATGGAGTAATGCGTGACATGCCCCCTTCTCGTCGCGTTGGTGATGATCACCGCACTGCATGTGGATGTGCAGAAAATTTTGCCGCACCAACGGGAAAGCTAGAACTCATTCATCTCACTTCTCAATTCAAGATCGACTGTGTACCGCCTATATCTCAGTTCAATTGTCCGCTACGATTTATTACCAAGCGTTAGACTTCTTAGTTCTTATAGTGTTTTTATTCATTGCATAGACATAATACTCATGTATATGAGTAATACTAGAATTACTTAGGCAAACCTAACTTTAGCGACGTATCAGGATTTGCCTCTAACAGCAGCAGAGCGCTTCGTACTTTTGCTATACTGCCATTCTTTTAGATGTAAGGTATGTTGCCTAACCGTAGGGCTATTATAACACTACTTGCAGTGTTCTATTGTAATACAATTTATAATATGATACCATACAGATTTAAATATACTATAAATCTGTGATGATACCTAGGTAGGTATATAATATACCTACCCAAGTATTTATTAGGCTCTATGTTTCATATAGACGATTGGGGAACATAAATTGAATGGCATTAAACAATTGTTAGTCAAGAAATGAAAAATCGTTTGTAGTGTATTAAATTTACAGTGTATATCTATTTATTTACACAGCTACCAGCGACGTCGGAAGTACGGATCAGAGGGGGCGACCCGCCCCCTCAGTTTTTACACAAGGGGGGCCGCGCCCCCTCTAGTAAGAATGAGTAGATAAATCACTCAAAAGCGACTAACACATCTTCTACCTACGGAATGTGCATGCAGAAATTACAAAGAGTGTAGAAGTAGAGGATATATTGAAAGTATTTGCCAGGAAAACTGCGGAAAGGCGGAAAATTTTTGGATATATTTAATTTTTTATACTTCCTTTTCTTTACAATGCTCAATAGTGCAATAAATAGGAACAAAATTTTTGTAACTTTTGTATGTTCTAGTTCTTCATTATTTTTATTTTTTAAATAAATTATTAATGATCTATGGTTATGGTTTTCTCAATCGAGTCAAGTATCTCTGAGTTGCTCAATTGCACATAACTAGACATCCTCCGACACTTTTAAATTTTTTTCAAAACTTTTCTTACAAAAATACATTTTTTAAGTAATTAAATAAACAAGTTTCAGGGTCACTTAAAAACCCACTGCATTGCATTAATTCGTACACAATTTTGCATGGGAGGGGGGAGGGACGTTTCAGACTCCATGGTCGCTGATTTTTGCCCCCCCCCCCAACCGTTATTCACTTCCGACGTCGCTGAAGCTACACTCGAATGCTTTTGAAGTGGAAAGCTGTTCATCGTCTGTGATAATAGCCATGTCATGTCTGTCCATATGGAGTCCATAAACCTTCATCTTCCCCGACATTCTCATTCTCCCGCTCAACTGCAGCATGATAACTACCATGCATGAGAAACACATGGGGGAACGATTCGGCACCATTTCGCAGCAGAGTAATTAAGAATATATTTTTTCAAGATTCAAGATTTCAAGATTTCAAATCCATGATTTTGATGGCTCTCTTTCTCTTGGAAAAGGAAATTTTACTGAAGTTTTTCCCCACTATGCTGAAAATAGAAGCATTTTCGACCGCAAACTCCTGGTGGTTCCGACATCCCTTGAGTGGTTCACCCTCCCAAATTTTTTTCAGCGAACGCATGTGCATAAATCACATTGCATAATATTGTGTGATCAAAACTCTCTAAACCTTCCCCATATAGTTTTATTCGTTGAAGTTTTTAAAAGTAAAAGCGACTATAGTTTCGGCGTACTGCCATCATCAGGCGATGTGAAATTTAACAGGAAAACGGTAAATTACAAACGTTGAAGACGAATAAGACGAACATGTTGTTTTTTAATTATTAACTGGCCGGAGCCAAGTGAAAAAACCTGAAGGGTGGTTAAAACGGAAAGGTTGTCCTAAGTTTCAAAACGAATTATTATCAAGCCTTGTTAAGACAACCAACCGGAGGGTTGAATTATTACATTAAAAGTTGAAAGTTGAGTTTAACACATTTCAAAAGAACTGGGGGGAAAAAATAAACTTATAAAAGTATTGAAACTATTGAGATGACTACATATTTAAATTATTTAAGTTAAGTTTAAATTCGAGATCATGCAGACGGCATGTCTAGAAATGATTGACAATTCGGTATATCTCAATCATTTCTAGACATGCCGTCTGCATGATCTCGAATTTAAACTTAACTTAAATAATTTAAATATGTAGTCATCTCAATAGTTTCAGTACTTTTATAAGTTTATTTTTTCCCCCTCGATGTTTCACTTTGGGGTAGGGCCGCCGATAAGAGGGGTCAGCCGGGGCATTTGCCCCGGGGCCCGGTCATATTCTGGGGGCCCGGCCAAAAGAGGTTTTGAAACCTGATTTTTAATTGTATTTTTTAACAGAAATCTGCATATGCATATCTCTGTATGAGAAAGTAGAATATAATAAAATGCACAGCAGAAGATTTAAAAAACCATACCATTGATCAAAATCTCCTAATTACGGCACAGTGACAGAAGGCTCGCTTGGTAAAAAAACCGTTTGAGATCGACTATGGGTCAAGATCGTTAGATCAATTTCGGTACATTAGCTCTTGAAGCTCAACTTGCTAGAGAAATTAATTTTGAGCGAGTGATATTCACCTTTGCTAATAAGAAAATCCACAGAGTGAAATTGTAATTTGGTTATTTGAATTCTAACAATTCATAATAAATTATGAAAATTACTGTGTCTGTATGAAAATTATTCAAATGTTCTCGTTTCAAATCCAAGTAGTCAAGATTGAAAATGTCTAGTTTAAGATAAGGGTGATGGACAACAAAAATTTAAAATTATAGGGGCCCGCTCAAAAAATATTCCCAGGGCCCGTCGAGGCTAACGGCGGCCCTGGTTTGGGGCGCAGCGCTAAAGGGTACATAGAATGTCTGCGTCTGGTCTCATTCGATGCAAAATTTAATGCACTTTTTTGTTTTGAAGTTTTCGGTAGTTTCAAAGATATGTGTACGTAAGCATGAAAAGCCTATTTTTGCATACATTTCATCCTCCTCTGTCCAATGCCGTCGTTGGCAGAAGACCTAAGCTGGAGGGGTTAATATTGTACGCAAATTGAAGATATCCCCTTTAAATAATCTTTCCCTTCCTAACCTTTCCCTCCGACTTTTATTCTTGCCTCTTGGTCTATTGGGTTCTTCAAGTGAGTAAAGATTTCTGGATACTTAATAGTAAGTATATCTCATTTGCATGGTATTTACGAACAAAAGTGAAAAAGTAAAATCAATTCCGTTCCAGTGATTATACATTGTAGTAAAAACTGCGTTTCCTGTTACATTTCAATTTCTGATTTCCAACACTCCCTTTATAAGGACAGCAACAAGTGTTACCGTAAAGAAGTGGATTTTACAACTATTTGTAAGAACAAAAACTAATTGTACAATATGTGATGCAATCGAAGCGCCGCACGAGTCACGACTATTGAACAAAAACCCGTTTAATTATTTATAAAACTGCTAACCTTAATGTGTTTTTTGCTGTTAGATGACGTACTGGATTAGGAATATTTATGAGTGTGTGGACCTAATAATTTCAGTGCAATTTGTAACATTATTTGAATTAATTACTTGAAATTATAGTGTTTTTTGTGTTTGTAATTATATACCTACTTTATAAACCCAAATAAAATAAAATAAAATAAAATAGCTATAAATATACATGTCATTTTTGAATTTATTTCGCGCGATTTTATTTATTTATTTAGTAGAAGTAAACATATCTGAAGATAAATTTCTACTATAAATATTGTCTCTTTTAAATCAGGAAATATTTAGACCCCCAATGGAGCCTGATGAAGGCATATCAAATGTTGGGACTGGGAAACTACGCCACACTGTCGACACCAAGGTAGACCGCATTGCATACTAAACCGGAAGGTCAAGATAATTATGATTTATTTATAACCAATTTCACCCTGTTGAGTGTTGAATTCCGAACAATTGTTTTCTATGATAATATTTCTGTTTAAAACCCGACTTAAACATTACAATAAGTTTGGGTAAATACCTAGGTACTCTTATTTCCTAAATTCAAGCCTCGACACCTCGAAAAGAGACTTTGTGTCACAACACTCACAACAACGCGAATAAAATATAAAAAATTATCCATCGTTAAACATTTATTTTAGAAAAATTATTGCACCAGTAATATTTATTTAATACAATAATCAGCGTCTGAAAAGCAAAATCAGTTAGTTCTATTTAAAACAGTGGAATACCTACATACCGGATGTTTTCGAAATTATCCAAGCCAGAAAAGAGGTCACTCTAGTATTCACAGCGGGGAAACCACCTCCACAACCAATCCCATAGGAAATTATACCAATCAGCTGTAATCTCCTCGTTTCGTTATCGTACCATAAAAGTGGACCACCGGAATCATACTGGCACGCATCCTTACCATCGCCATAAGAGCACAGCACGCTACTGAAAATCTTCGCATTGAGCAGTTCTTCTTGACACTTGTTATTAGAAACTATAGTAAGATTTACTTTTTGAAGTTCCTGTGCTCTTGGTCCAGTAAACTCAGTCGTTCCCCAACCTACGAATCCAACCATTACCTAATATATTACCGTGGTTTTGTGACTACCCAATGCCAACACCGTTTGATCATTGAAATCAAAATTTGAAAACCGGAAAGGTAGACACACCGGGCCAACATCGCCTCCAAAGGGAATTGTTTTCTCAGTCTTGATAATGGAAATGTCGTTTTCTTTCGAACCCAAATTATACATAGGGTGTCTTATGATGTTTTCTATGATATACAATGCTGCTGACGGGGTATCATCTCCTAAACACGTTTCTCTTTGAACGCCCAGTATTTAACTGCCCTATACCTACCGGTGTTAATATCATGATCACCAACCAATAAACCAAATGTTCTGGCAGTTTCATTTAAGACACAATGGGCGGCACTAATCGCGTACCTACTCGCGATAATGCTGGCACCACAGGATATTTCTCTCTTCTGTAAGTGGACCAGTCCGGCCATCAGTGGGAATTCGTTAACGCCAGTTGGCACACCGCCAACTATCCGCCGCTATAAGAATTAATGGATTAATATTCGTTTTAAGTTCAATGTTGCTTACATGTTGACGCCATCCACAATCACACTTTGCAGGCGACTCGGTGGTGCCCGTTGGGGTTGAAGACTGGATTGCTGTTAGTGTGCACAAAAATCGTCCCCCCATGCTGTACCAAGGCGCCGTTAATCCTGTAATTTTAATACACTGTAATGCAGGTAACGACTTCGACAATTACCTATAGATATTCGGTTTCTTTCCGAAACTGTACTCAACGTGCCTTTGCCGCAATAATTGTGTGCATCCTGAAAATTCGCATCGCCTGACTTCGAAATTATTAGCTTGTCTTGCTGGCAGTCCCTAGACTAAAATAAACACGAGTACAGTACCTATACCCGTCTTATCTATGTTAAGTTAGAGGGGGGGTGCTCTTTCAAGTACACCAATACTTACAGGTGGCAAATTTATATCTTCACAAGTAAGAATAATAACCGCGTTAGGACTTGTTTGACCAACCCATCGGCACGATGTTCCAGCTGCATATTTGGATGGATATTGATGATTATAGATATAATATCTTTGCCCGATGCTCACGTCTTGATAATAGTCGCATTTTGGATCAACTGCTGCTAAAGCTGACGTTATTGAATGTATTATGCAGGTAACGATCAGTATAATTCCCATAATTCTGGAAAAAATAAAAATATATTAACGGAAAAGATAAATATAATATGGATTGTTAATAAGGAGCAAAAAGCAAACGATGGATCTTATAATGTTAAAAAAGAATGTAAACGGCAAAAATATATTTTGATCAAAACGTCAAAATCGTTATTCTTGCACCAAGATCGTTTAGAAAAAAAACCAAGAGGATTATCTCAATTCTCAATGCCCAAAATATGAGTTTGATATAGATCACAGTGGCAAGGTTAACAATATCACCTTTTCTGGTAAATTTGCTTAGTCCTGACTGGGATTCCCGATTCCGTAATGAAGTTACGGGATAAATTAAACCTAATAACAAAAAGATGTGCAGTTTTTCGTACTCCAAGTGCCAAACGAATACCATTTCTTGGTAATTTTTTTAAATTCTAGCCCCAGACAGCGATAGCCCCTTAAGAGTTCTGAGAGTTTCTCTAAGAAGATTTGTTTTTACAGCGTTAAGAGTTTTTACTAGATATCTGGGCAGAATCTCAACAAAAACTTTCTCTATTGAATGTTTGTGGCGAACCTCAGAATAAAGCAATGCTGCTTGGCTCGCGGACGAATTTCGAATGGCCCGCGCAGACATGTTTTAAAATTTCCGCCAAATTGAGGGATTTCTGCTTGGCCTAATCGACCACTTTTTGTAAACTTCGAGGCAAAAATGTTGATTCCCAAATGAAATACTAAGTGTTTAGTATCACTGGTTTTATAATTTTTTTCTCTACCGAGTGACGTAAAAATCAAATATGGTGTCCATTTAAAATAAGGAATTTGATGTCAATATCCCGAAAACCGTCATTTAAAAAAATTTCTTTCTGCGTTCATTGAATTTATCCCATCGAATCTTGCAACTTTTATTGGAAACTTTTTTCGATAGCTCTCTTTGTTACTAAAATATTTGAACTTTTTTAAAATGGCGATTTTCACTTTTTTTTAAATAACTACGAAACGAATTATTCTTTTCAAAATAGCAAACATAGCCATGCTATCCTACTCAATTTAAGACACCCTGGGCCTATATGACAAAATGTAGTGTAGGAGTAGGATCGTATATGAAAAGCCAAAGGCATAAAAACTGTGAATCGCGATGGATTCTAGATAAAAAAGTGCCCTAAGAAAGATTTTGTCAAAATCAATTATCTTTAATAATAAGAAAGTTATGGCGCATTAAAGAAACGCCCCCTAATTCTCTCTTTAAAATTGAGTTCCTGACACCTAGGTCCATATTTTTCTATCTCTTAAAATAAAGGGTGTTTCCATAGGAGAGAGTCCAATTTGCACCACCCTATACATTAAACATACCTACATATCATTGATAGGAAGGTAATATGATTTGTTTTTTCATATTAAACCATATGATTGTGTACAGGCTTTTGGCTTTCAATAGTTCCTACGTGCGAACGCATGTTGAAACTACACCGGTCAACAAAAAAATAATTTTTTTTGCGCATGGGATTTACATAACATATTCTGACTATAATAAGTAAAAATAAATAAAAAGTGCGATTAGACGTCGAAAATATTTGCTTTTACAAAAGTTATAGCGATTTGATTGAAAGTATTCAGGGGCGAAAGTTAAAGTTTGAATCTTTGTTTTCCCTCAAATAAAAAGAAAAATGGAGGGTGATATTTTCCCGCGGTTACTTAGCAAAGAGGAAAAAAATCCTGGAACAATTTTAAGGCAATAGTCCATGGTTTCCCGTTCAGTGTTTCCTGGGGAACCATAGACCTGAAAATTATGACGAGCTGACAGGATTTGGTTTTGCATCATCGGGTATAGAATGTCTTTAAAGATGCACAGGTTACATTCTCATTTAGATTAATTTAAGGATAATATGGGAGCCTATTCGGAATAACAAGGACAACACTTTAATCACGACATAATGGAATTTAGGCACGTTACCAAGGCCAGTAAGCTGGAAGCATGATGGAAGATCATATTTGGGGGGTTGATGAGAAAAACTTCAGTTGAACATAACAAAAACAGCAGAACTGTTCCATTTTTAAACATTTAGACTCTAAGATAAACAAATTATAAATGTAGGAACGTTACCTTTTAATAAATCATGCCCATGTAAGTAAGATTTTATAGGTATTTTATTTTTTGGTTTTTTGCATTTTTTTCACACAAAAACAAATATATAACCTTTTTTGTTCTAATTCTTATTTGTGGCTATACAAGCAATAAAAATAAGGTATATATGTCCCATGCGCAAAAATGCTGTAGACCAGTGCTATTCGTGCAGAATTTGTAATAACTAATAGGTATACATCGATTAAACCCAAAATCACACATTAAATTTAAATACGATTCAAAATATAAAAACTAATTATGATATTTAATATTTAATAATAATAATAATAATAAATGTCTTTATTGTCAACCGAACAAACAGCAAATAAATAACATTTCTTTGTTAATACATTTATAAGTGACAATAGGTGCAAGTTCAGGGACAGGCACAAGCGCCGCTCCTGGTCTTCCACTTGGACCAAAATCAGCAACGGGAAGGAAGAAAATAAAATTTACAATATAAATAGAAGAAAGAAAGAGGAAAGAAATAAAATCTACGATATAAATAGGATGGTTCACGAAACGTCCAGATTGCTAACAATTGATGCGAGATAGTGATAGTTAATGTGGCTTATTGAGATTGTAGTAGGTACTGTTTACTAGCAGATTTGAAAAGAGGTAAGGAGGAGATGTTCTTGATGTTATCTGGTAAAGAATTCCATAATTTACAAACATTATAAGAAAAAGACCTCTCAAACAGTGATGTTATGTGCCTAGGAGGCCTAAGATAAAACTTTTTTCTTACATTCAGATTATATACATCTGTGCGGTATGTTAAGCGTTCCGCCAAATATGGAGGGGTTTTGTATTTAATCACCTTAAAATAAAGTGCATGATGTACCCTTCGATTGGACATATTTAACCACTTTACATCGCTTCAATAAATGTGAGACTTTATTGTACTTGCGAATTCCGTATATAAAACAAAGGCATTGGTTTTGAATTTTTTGTACCCTAAGCTTATCATAAGAATCGAGACAGGGACCATAGACGACATCGCAGAAATTAAAGTTCGAAAGTACTAATGATTCGCACAGTGTAATCTTTAATGCACGGCTAAGTACACGACGTTGAGAATATATTTGTTTTAAGACTAAAAACGACTTACTAATCATTTTAGAGACATGTGATTTAAAACGCAATTTGGTATCTAATACAACTCCCAAATTTTTTGCACAATTAACAGAATTTAAGTCCACTCCATTTAAACTTATTTTCAGCTTATCACTCAAGTATTCAAAATCTTTATTTTTACTAAATATTAATAATTGAGATTTACTAGGGTTTAGTTTTAAGCAGTGATCTACAGCTTGTCCTGAAACGAATTCCAAGGCCCTATTGATAACATTAATTGAGGAATTTACATTTGCGACATCAAAAGCGTAATAAATTTGTGTATCGTCAGCATATAGACTGACCTCCTGGAGTCCACCAAGGTACTGACTAGTGTATATAGTAAATAATAATGGCCCTAGAACTGAACCCTGAGGTACACCCCTAGACAACACAAGTTCATCTGACACGACACCGTTTAACTCCACAACTTGAGATCGATTAGACAAGTATGACTCAAAAAGATGTAACACATTTCGACTGCAACCAACATAATGCAGGATAGCCAATAAGGTATCATGGTCAATCATGTCAAAAGCCCTAGAATAGTCCAAGAGTATTAATGCAGTAGCCTTACCCCTGTCAAGAGCTTGGAAGATGGAAGATTCACGCCTTTTCTCAAACATTTCCATTTTTAGTGGAATTTTCTGGCTACTGAGCACAGTTCCTACTTCCTACACAAGCTATGCAACTATTCACCATAAGTTATGCCGTAAAATGTACATTTAGTCAATATTGGTAACTCTTATTTCAGAGCAATGAAAATGAAAATGCGCTAAAATCGCGTTTTTTTGTACGTCAAATAACGCAAGTGTCAGATGTCTTGATATTTCATAAATTGAAATCTCTCTCTCTCTCTCTCTCTCTCTCTCTCTCTCTCCTTCCAAGCGTAACTAGAATAAATTACAATTGCAATGTAGTTTGGTACGTTACGTATTTAAAATATATCGTAAGAATGTCTACTAGGTATTATGACAATGGTCCTACATTTGCAATAGGTTTTAAAGCTTTTACCGCAAAAAAGGGGCATTAGTCTAGAGTAGAATCAACAACTAATTACGGTTTCACTCGAGGTTTCATATAAAATTATCTTTGCAATGATTCCGTATTTTAACTTAACAAGTGAAGGATGAGATAATTAGTACAAAACTAATAATTAAAAATGTGAATTAATTACGCACGGCGTATCGTACGCATTTATCATACTGGTAGGGCTATATTCGCCGACTGAAAGCGGCAACGCTGCAGTATACCGGCAGCACTTGCTCGACAACAGAACAGTTGAATGTCGTGTCGCGATTCGTGATAGCAAAAGTCAAAACCGTCTCCTAGGTATAAACAAAAACATTTCGCCGACATTCTCGTAACTTAACCACAATTTTCTAAATAAAACCTGTGTGACTTGCCCATGGCTTTACAATAAAGAGTGCTATTAAACGCGAAGTAATTTTGTATAAACAAAAGTATTGATTTTGTATTCTAACCTCTTGTGATTGACGCTTTGTGTTCCAATTTTCTCCCTTAATATTCTCCTAATTATTAAGAGTTATTCTTGTTAAGGCTAATTAAATTAGCGAAATTGTGATTAATAATTATATAACTTTCATATATAAACCAACCTTAGAATAGGCGGCTTTTTAATCTACCAGCTTTATAAATGTGTAAATAATTATAACTATCCCTGGTGCTTAGCTTTAAATACCTATCAATTATAAATAAATAAAAGTGCAATTAACGTGCTTAGGTGTAACGACGATGTGGATTAAAATCGCGGCCAAGAAATAATGTTCATATAA